AATGAATAGACACTTCTCAAAAGAAGAACAAATGGCCAGTAAATACATGAAAAAGTTCAACATGACTGGCCATTGGAGAAATGCAAATTAAAACAACAGTAAGATTCCACCTTACTCCAGAAAGAATGGCTAGCATCAAAAAATCAACCAATAACAAATGCTGGCAAGAGTGCAGGGCAAGCAGAACACTTCTGTGTTGTTGGTAGGAATGTAAACTAGTACAATCACTATGGAGATCATTATGAGGATTACTCAGAAAACCAAAACTAAGGCAGGCATGGTGGTGGTGTATTCCTGTAGTCCTGGCACTCAGGAGGCTGAGGCAGGAGGACTGCCATGAGTTCAGGGTCAGCTTGGGCTACATAGTGAGTTTGAGGCCAGCCTGAACTACATAGTGAGACCCAGTCTCAGCAAAAAAAAATTCTGTTTCACCCAGCTATTCCCCTTCTAGATATCTTCACCAGAAAGTTAAAGATACCATATTACAGAGATACATGTATACCCATGTTTGTAGCAGCACAACTCATAATACTAAATCTTGGAAGCAGTCTATTTACCCGTCAACAGATGAATGGATAAAGAAAATTTATACACAATGGAGTACTACTCCGCTATAAAATTTATACACAATGGAGTACTACTCCGCTATAAAGAAGGATACACTAGTCATTTGTAGAAAAATGGATGCACCTTTTTGGTGAGGGTGGGTACGGGGAATCGAACTCAGGGCTTTGTACTTGCCAGGCAGGCACTGTGCCACTGAACTATATCCCCAGCCCTAACGGATGTACCTTGAGACCAAAATGTTAAGTGAAATAATCAGACACACAATCCATGGTTTCTTTTATAGGAAGCCTAAAATATAAATAAAGAACAAAATAAAAAATAATAAGACACATGGAGACATTTTGCAAATGGGAAGGGAACCAAGAGATGGAGGAGGGAGAGGAAGGGATGATAAAAGAATTGAGATATGTCACATACCTGCACCAACTCCCCACAGTAGGCGTGGTCATTACGTACTGCAGACCTGGACTGACACCACTTAAACACGGTCTTAACTCACTTCTGCTTTTATTTCCACTAACTCCTATCTTCATTTTATTTATCTCTAACTCACTGCTTAATTTTTCTGTTTTGAATCTTTAAAAAAAAAATTGATCCTGGGCTTTCACCTATGGATTTTCTCTGGCCACTTATTTATCTGTATCCCATAGATTCTGGCATGTGGTGTTTTCTCTATTGATGTTTTCTAGAAAATCTATAGCTCCATTGCTCCCTTTTGATTCCCTATTCATGTGACCTTAATTTTAATTTTTGTTTCTATTAGTACATGTTTGCAGTATCCCTGTTCACACGACTTTTTTTTTTAATTTTTTATTTTAAAGAATAAAAGAAGGATAACATAATAATAGGGGGGACTTAGCAAATTACAGACAAAATGGTAGGAAATTATCAATGGTTATCGTTTTACGTATTATTATCTA